CCTGTCAAGGTACGTTTCGTAGTCAGCACTTCAGGCTCGGACGTGCGCTGAGGTTGCATCACTCACAGGAGCCGCCAATCAATACTTCACCGCCTGCGTCCTTAGCCTTCTGAATATAACCCGTCACCTTCTGGAATGCCGAGCGCCCACTGGACCCATGAACCGTCAATCAATCCCACCGGTCTTTCCGCAGCGATCAGTGATACGCACATAACCGGCCCGATGAAGTTGGTGAGATCGGTAGGAGGGCCAACCTTTAGTGTTGCCACTTCCTCGAGCAGTTGCACCTTGAAGCCGCCCTTCCAAACGGAGGAAGCGACGTAGAGACGAGACAGCGCTGAGCACTTCTGACCTATACAGATAGACAGTTGCGAATCATATGTGATTGTTGCAGCGAGATACATTGAACTTACCCTGGTACTCGAAGGCGCCTCGAATGCTCTGCAACACGGCGTTTCTGATTTCGGCAGAGGAGTGGACAAGATGGAAGTTCTTGCCACCTGTGCAATACATCCCGGTGAGCAGATGTTTGGTCGGACCGATATGAACGCATCTGCCTCATCTCACCTGTCTCGCCGACGATGCGGGGATAACCCTTATATTTGTCCAAGTTGGCCGCAATGTCCTTCCAGAGCTTCTTGAAGATGAACGTGCTGCCGGTGAAATGCAAGGCCGCAAAGTTCGGATTCGCGATAGCCTGGCCGACAACTTCTTCCGCAGGACCGGGGACAAATTGAATGACACCTGGTGGAACGCCAGCCTCCAACAATATCTTATGGGTCAGATAATTGGCGTAGACAGCCATCGGCGATGGCTTCCACACGATGGTATTGCCCACTAGTGCCGGTGCTATGCGGGGAACGTTTTTCAATTATCGGTTGGCATCACGATCATCGATGTGCGCACCTCCTGAAAGATTGCCGCCAATTGCGGTAAAGTTGAATGGTGAAACCGCGAGGACGAACCCCTCGAGAGCGCGGTACTCAACCCGGCTGGGGACCGCATAGCGTAAGACCCGGTGGCGAATGACAGGATCACGGCGCAGACTCACTTCCAGCCCCCGGCACTGTTCTTCGCAGGCTGCTGAGCATACAGCTCCTCGACGTACTTCACGCCGAAACGCAGGAAGTCGGAGAACTAACGGCGGATCACTGAGCATGCTGGGGCCCACACATCCGAGTCGTGTGTACGCACCTCTGCGGCGGCGTCGATCTCGGCTTGCCACGCGTTCTTGCCCTGCCCCAGCATCGTCGCAGCGATCAGCTGGTAGCGATACTTGCCGCTGACGAGATCAGCGGCCTTGAGGAAGATGGCAGCACGATCGTTCCACGGCATGGACTCCCATTCCGCCTTGGCTGCTAGAGCACCGTCTATGGCCGCAGCAACAGTGGCTTGGTCTGCTTCATGATAGCTGCAGAGATGCTTCGCGTGGTTGCTCGGGATAGGCTGCTGAGCGAGCTTCCCGGTCTTGACCTAGCATCGATCAAACCGCTCGATTAAACACGTACATCCATCTCGACAACAGAATCAAAACACTCACCGGTTTCCCGTTGACCACGCAAGGCACCTCGAAGGGCAGTTCCTTCTGCATCTGTTTCAATGCGTCTTCGAGATCCTTGCGCTCTTTGGAGCCGGGAGCATAGCTCCTCTGAGGGAACGGAGGCAATTTGCATCAATCCACTTATACAATGTGAACATCCAAGATTCTGCTCACCATAGGCTCATTCTCGATCGCTGGGACCTTGAATGCGGCCAGCTGGGGTGTGGCCATGGTGGTGGTTCTGAAGAGACCTGAACGTTGTCCGCACAAGGGCGAGTCGGGCTATCGCGCCCTCGACCGCATCCGACCAAAAGGCTATTCGGTGTACCTGCACCGTGACTCGAGCTTCGACGTCTTATCATGATCTATGCATATATTCACCATCATGAGGTGAGAAATTGGTCGAACATTCAATCGGCCAACCTTCGATGATTTCGGATAGAATACAATTTGTATACAGGCACGAAAAGCTGATTACTATAGACGGATAGATCAACAAAACTCGTTGGTCATACTGCTGGGGGTATACGGTAGAGTGCGAAGGGAGACGTCCGAGAGAATGCGACAAGTCCAAAACGAAGGTATGTCCACTATCATAATGGATCCGTCATGAAGGGGTCGTCATCATATCGTGGATGGCAAGTTGTCAATACTCTTCTTCAGCTGGTCCAGGAACGGATGGGCATCGAGGATGCTACCAGCGCACCGCTCGCAGCCCGCTTGTGCCGACTGCGCCAGGAATGGCATAGAGAAGACGATGTCCGTCGTTGGACGGACGGCCAACTCCTGTTTCGCCCTCTCGTGGAAGTCTGCCCACCACTTGGGCGGCAAAAACGCGTGATAGCGCGCTCCGTTGCACTGCATGCACTTGACGTCCTCCGACAACTGGAGCAGCTCCTGGGCTGCCTTCGCGCGTTTCCGGTGAAGATCCAGCAGGCGATGGTATGCGTAGGCAGTGATGTGCTTTAGGTCGTCGTGGAGGGGACAATCAAGGACGTTGACGCTGAGAGTGTAGCGCGATGCCACCTTCGCCTCCTGCTCTAGATCGAACCGGCATGCAATCGCGTACACACGGGTAGGCGTGGCGTTTGCAAATTCAGGGGCAACGAGTTGTTTCCGGAGGATGTCTACAACGCTGACAATGTCGTACTTGGTAGCGGCTTCGAGAACGGGAGTTAACTCGTCCAGAGTGTCGATGGTTGGCCTCGACGTGGGGTAGATGTATCGAAGGAGTGTCTCCAGGATGGTCCTCGGTTCGGACACATCAATGACGGGGACCTCGACGTGGGTGCGCGGTGTCTGCGGCAGCGCGAACATGTGCTTGAAGAAGGGAGATGCGGCAGAGAGGAGGGATTTATGGACGCGAAATTCGGTTGCATGTGGCGCTGCAGAACGCAGAACGACGTCGGCGTCGTCGAAGTTGAAACAGCTCGAGGTCATCGTTGTAGGGGTTGGGGCGGGGGAATAGCAAGAGTACTGGCAGGTCATCGCGGATGACATGGAGAAGCGATTATATAGGATGATGAGGGTGCGGTGAGAGGAGCCGCTACTTATATACCAACCTGCGCACGAAAGCGGCAGTAGTTGCGGGGATCTGTGTGTTGATGACGGCAAGAGAGCGATTCGTGTCTGATCGAATTTGATATGACATGTGCGCAAGTGAACGCCGTGGCAACCGTTACGCGTGTAACAGTGCCCACAAGGCGGGGGACGGAGGTGCAGAGCTGTCACTAGCGAGATGTCACCAACGAGGCGTTAACGAGGTTGCAGACGCCGCCTCCATTTCATCGTCGCCGATCGCGTTCATACCGCTCTCGCGACTGCCGGTCCCTACTGCGGCTTCTGCGGTGCCCCCTGTCACGCTCGCTATCGCGTCCCTTTGGGGACCGTGACCGCCTGCGCGGTTCTCTGGAATGATGCCTCCGAAGCCCTTCTTCCTGGCTGTTGCCTCGGCGCTTGCTGGACCGGTCATCAGCAACGTCGAACACCATCCCGTAGTGGGAGCTTTGGTGCCCCAAGCCCTCCCTGTATCGCCGAGTAGCTTCCAATTCGTCGTGCCCTCCAAAGCCGACACCACCATGCCCACGTTCGCCACGTACGGGACGTGGCCCCGTTTTGGGATTGTTCGACCACCCTCCATTCAGTCGGGCCACCGATTGAGAGCTGTATGGAACGCAATGAGTCCGACCGCGTCATACGTGGCGTTCTACATATTACTCACAAATCGACCCAAATACGCCGCTCGTCAATGAGTACATTCTGCATCTTGAAGTACGCCTGTGACTGTCAGGTATGGCGCACCCTGCAAGAGATGACTCCACGCACCTGTTCGGCATCTTCTCGCTTGTCAAACTCTATGAATGCGTACTGAAGCGAGTCTCCGGTTTTTTTGTCCCGGATCACTTGACAGCTCATGATTGAGCCGAAGCGAGAGAAGATGAGCTCCAAGTCCTCGTCTCGGGTAGCTGGGTTCAGCTTGCATACGAAGAGGACGTTCTCCGGGGGCCGCACATTGGCAAAGGGTAGGTCTCCAACCATCTCGAGCGTCAGCGCCGACGCACGGGCAGCCTGAGCTCGCCTTTCTGCCTCAGCTTCCTCTTCTGGGAGCGTAGCCAACGGGTCTTCGTCTTCCGCGATACGCGTGGAGTTGTCTGGTGGGCGCGTTGGTATTGACGCGGGTACCACCAAGCCTGAAGGGTCCGGATACGGGTCGTCTGGGCGTACAATAGTGAGCCACAAGGACGCCCATGTCTGCAGGACAATGCGCACCTAGAATCTCTACATGCCGTATCCGCACATCCTTGAGTGGTCGTCCCTCCTGGTCAACGAAGACATCATTCAGCTTGTCCAGCGTGTCCAGCCCCTCGACAACGTGCCCAAAGACCGCATGCTTCCCGTCCAGGTATTCTATCTCATCTGCGAGCGTGACGAAGAACTGGCTACCACAGCCACCTTGACTTTGACCCTCGATGGATGGGGCGACCGCCATAGACACAGTGCCCTTTGCCTTGTGTTTCAGGCGCGGCACAAACTCGGGAGTGAAGTAGCGAGGTTCTTCTTTCCCTTGCTGTGAGGCAATCAGAGACCATATAGACTCGCCTCCCGTCCCCGTAGCTATAGGGTCCCCAGCCTGGGCCAGAAAGTCCTTCGATACTGCCTATATGTGAGGTCCTGCGACGTGGGTACGTTTCGCGACTCACCATTGAAGAAAGCATTGAGATTATAGTAGTAAACCTTGCATAATTTCAGAAAATTTTCGCACGTTTTAGGGCAAGCCTCAGTCTCAAGATCAATAACAAGGTCCCCCAGCGACGTTTCGAGAAGCACAGACATTCTGCCGTGGGGCTTCGGTGTGCGGGATGATGGTGAACAAGACGACCACTTGGGCAGTGAGATTGATGGGCTTGGTGAACGCACCGCCGTTAACCTACACACTGTTTATTCTTTTGACTTTAACATGACACTGATGGTGAAACGGTATCATGCTTGCCTTCCATCATCGTCTGAAGCAAGCGGCGCGGGTTCGACTCCCGCTCAGTGTATTTTTCCTCGACGCCTTCATTTTGGACGACCATCCCATGCTCAAGCTTGCGACCTTGCATCCAATAGCAAGCCTGTGCAATACACGAGGCGTTGCTGCGCCTTTCTACTGACTCCTTCCCTTGATTCAGACAATGGACCGGGATCATGACTTTGCGTTCCACAAGTACGACTGAATCAGTTGTTCTGCCTTGGGAGCCGGGTAACGTACCGTGACTGCAGCACTACTTTCGGCGGCCCCTGCTCATGCCCGGAACTCTGGACACCGCAGTTCGGTCTCCCTTTGTCTTGCAATCTACCATTCGTGTTTACGTCTGAAACGAGCTAACAAGACCTCGTAGTAGGAAATACTGGCGTGCCAGTGCAGACGAACCATTGCAGATTATCTGGTGAGTAATTGCTCGCGCTCAACTCGACACTGCTTATTGAGAATGTCATTAGCCCCTTTGTACGACCGACCGATTGCTGTGGCTTCGCTGGAGTATACCGGAGACCGATGAGCTTCGTCAACCGCCTGCCTCTCACTCAGCAGTCGTGTTACGACGTGACGGAGCTGACTGTCATCCAGAACGATGAAGACGCCATCATTGACGATGATCTAGCCCATATAATTCCTTGGTGTCCCAACCTGGAATCTATCTGCCTCACCGGGGTGCCGGATCTCAGCGATCGTACGGTCGTACTACTCGCTCGCAGTGCCCACTACCTCATAGAGTTGGATATCTCTGGTTGTACCCTCATCACGGACGTTGCGATACTGGAGGTAGCAAGCATAGCGACGGAGCTCGAGGTTGTACGCCTCAATGGGCTGTCTACCCTCACTGACCCCTCCGTCTCCGCGCTGGCACGCTCCCTCACGAACCTGCGCGAACTCGAGATCTCGGACTTGCACCTCCTCACCTCACTGTCTGTTCGAGATATCTGGACGTTTGCGACGAACTTGCAACGTTTGAAGCTGTCCAACTGTGTGCATCTCACCGACAAAGGCTTCCCTTATGTCCCTATCGGCCCTCCAGATCGACCCTCGAGCCTTGCAACACTTGCGTCTTTTCCTCCTCCTGAAGAGTCCCCGTGGACCGACGAGTCCAGGCCGCCAACGTGGCTAGAGACACTACCACCCCTCATCTTCTCGTCAGGACACAAACTTGGCCACCTTCGATTTCTCGACATCAGCCATTGCTCGCGCCTCACGGATGCGGCGATCGCAGGTGTCGTCGCCTACGCTCCGAGACTTCAGCACCTGAGTATATCCGCATGCACACGATTGACCGATGCCTCGGCGGAGGCGGTCTCCAATCTCCAACATCTTCATGTACTGGCAATGTCATACGTCGACGGGCTCACGGATAGTGGTGTTGTCAGCATCGTTCGCCATTGTACGAAGCTAAGGTCCGTGGACGTCAATTGTAAGGAAGCCTTCTTCAATTACCAGACACTGTCTCTAATCTCCGCCTAGACTGTTCCTCCCTCACAGACCTATCCGTCCTTGAGCTGGGTACCCTTCCACAGCTGCAACGCCTGGCTGCCTCTGGACTTCCATACCTGACAGATAATGCGCTGTTCTTCCTTGCGGAACACGCGGAGTCGCTCCAGCGCTTGCATATTTGCCAATGCAGACGCCTTACGCTCGATTCCATGCATTTTCTGGTGCGCAAGCTTAACAAGCTTGAGCATCTCAATGCTTCTGGCATCCCCGCTCTCAAGAGAGCGGGCGTAGAGCGGTTCTCAGATGAACCCTCGATGGTGAGTTCCCGCACGAGTTAGTTGTTGGCTTTTGGTAAACCCCCGTGTTGACCCTGAACTCATCGCGTTGCTAGGATTATGATTCGCGGACGCGGGGACTCCATCGAGTCTTCACCGGCGCGAACATCGTTGCACTCCGCCAATTTCTGGACAAGGAGCAAAGCCGTCGCCGGCGAGCTGAAGACCAAAATATCATCTTCTCTCCGAGAGCCGATGACAGCGACGCATTGTATTGACAGGCTGTCCATCCGGGTCGACAATGCAAAACCCATGTATGGATTTACAAACGAACCGCGTCCTGAACGCAAATATGGAGGACCACCAGTGTGACGCCGAATAATCTGGGTACGTATACAGTACCGCTTTCATTTTCAGGCACTCAGCGTGTCTCACTGTCGCCGCCTAGATCACATTTACGAGCGATATTGAATCTACTTCTATCAATGCTGCACTGCATGCGGTTGCGCAATTGAACACCCTATAGGATGTGCACAAACCATTCCTTGACTCTTGGCGCGTAATACGTTGAACTCTCCTTCTCCGATGTACACTACCTGATGCAGATCGTTTAGAAAGGGCCTTCTTGTCTACGGGATACTGCAACCGTGGATATGCGTTGCTATACACATGGCGAAGCGAACTTTATTTCATTCTTCTCTTTTCCGATCTTCAGACCAAACCGGCGATCTTGCGGCTTGTTCTGCCACTCACGTCAGGCTCGTATCAACGACTCAGTATATACGGACTCCAAACCACGAGGTGCAGTACCAGTCACTTTGACCTGCAAGAAGATCCTGTTGGATCGCCCCCAGTTAACCTCTGCACCACTCTCCAAGTGCCATTCTGCACTGCAATCGCTCCAATGTTTCCGAGGTTCTACCTTGCGGAGATGGGTCACAACGTAGCCTAAATGAGTGCAACCCGTTTCCTTCTACACCGAATGTCCGCCCCCTTGCACGGGTACTTCCCGAGAGCTTAACCACCGTCGCTCATTCATGTCCTTCAGGTTCCGGTCTCTGCCATTAGGTTCAGCGGTTCGTAGCGGTCCTTCGCGATACATAGATGATACATCAGTTCGCGACCGTCAGACAACCCTACCTATATATTACGTGGCTGAGTAGGCACATGAGTCAAGGAACCTTCAATAATGCAGCAGTAACAACGCCATCCAGGGTCTACTTGTTGTTATATCGAACTCAAACGAAAGCGCATGATGAACTTTAACGTCTTGCTTCGCGATGCATACAGCGCTACTAGGGCGCCGACACGGTATATGACTACTCGAAGACAATGTCTCCTGTGCTCTTGTGCTCAGGCTCTGAAATCACTATACATGGACACCTTCTTTGAACCCTACTCTTCAGATCTGTGTGCATCGCCCCCTCTGCAACTTCCTGGTTCCCATCCTAGGTGTCACCCGCGTGGCAGTCACACTCGCCCACTACCTAGCAGTACATAGGATTGGAAAATCCCCTCATTGTGACATGTCCGTGGAAGATCTCCGAGGGCGCCCTATGTACATCGCCGCTACCCCGCATGCGTCGCCGACTCGTCGAGGATGGAGTTTCCCCACACCGCGGATCGTTCCTGGGCCCACCTGAGCCTGCATCGAGTGGCGCATGCTGACGCTGTCGTCAGGAACAAATTGAGTCCGTGCACCACGCCGTGGAGTCACCTGAGGCTGTTTGCTAGGACGAGGGGCACTATGTGTTGAGCCGTAACGCCGAGCGCTGAGCATCCGCGGCACGCGGTCTTCGACGTCCTCGGGCTCTGAATTTGAGCAAGCATGCAGCGATGTCATTGATGGTCGATTGTGTCTGACAATGAAGCAGGGACTGAATTCAGTATGATGGGAATGGACGTCTGTTAGCAAATTCGCCTTAGGAGTCTTGTTCGCCAGTCGACGTGCCGGGCAGTAACATCGTGCGCACGTAGTTTCGGCACGAGCGCGTGGGGTTCGTGTCGAACCTACATGCGTGCGATGTCATGGTAAGGATGGGTGGGACTGGACGCAAACGGTGGGAACACGGCCTTAAACTCCCATGACGAATTGCAGTATTTAAGACATAGGCACGCACCGACACGAGATAAGCACGGGTTGACGCGGACGCCGAACATAGGCTTCACGCTACGGTCGCGTGTGAAGGCTCATTGGTATGCTCCAAGTCTCCGCAACGGCCGCCAGCTCACTGAGAACAATGACTCCAAAATAAGTGCCGTCATGCTATTGTCGTCGACGCTGAGGTGGGAACCAGTCCACGGCAACCAAACTCCTGTAAGAGTCCCGGCCACTATCAAGTCCGACTCACTTGTGTGAAGCGGCTCGAGAGCGGGAGTCTCTTCGGTCCCTCGGGGCAGCGCTGTGAGTCGAAGGTCGGGAACACAACGCGCGCGAGTCCGCCGCCGGCGAGCTATTTGTGCGGACGGTGTGTGCGAAGGTTCCACGGCCGCCTTCTACTTGACGACTATGTCCGCCGACTTTGCTCGGTTCGACATGTCTATTACGAGGGGTATCTAGGCTTGAATGATCAAGAGGTGGAGCACGTCCTGGGAGCTGTAGTGTGGTGTAAAAGTGGAACTTACCATACACTTCAGGGTCACGAACAAGTCACGTTGCTGCAATGCTTCGCGCAGTGACCACTGATCGGCATAGTGCACCTATATGGCGAGCGCGAGTTCGATGACTATGAACGAGCGGATACGAAGGCGGGGAAGGACGTACATGAGTGGTTCTCAAACGCGAGTCGGATGGTGATCCTCAGTGGGCCGAAAATAGCAGGCACGAGGGAAGTAAGTGCCCGTCGCTCCGGCGTCGTGTGTATGGAAGGCTACTGCTGGGTAGCGCGGTTGGCTGCGGGTAGGGCGATCCGAGTGTCTTCACGCGGTTTGAACGTAGCCACGCAAGACACCTGGCATTCCAATTATTGCAAAATCAATATCAAGGAGTGCTCGGTCAGATGGCTCTACGAATGGCAGCCGTGGCAAAGTGATGGGGAATGGTGAAGAGCATGTGGGTCGAAACTCAGGCTCTTTAACGATGCCATGTTCATGAGCTGTGTGGCTCATCCAATGTCCCATGCTGGCAATGGCTACATGGGGGAGACTCCGCGCCGGGGAAACACAGCACGAGGCAGCCGAATGCACGAAATCGTGGTGAGCGCGATCTTGACGCGACACGCGACACCAGACGCAGATAACCAAGAGGCAGACGCGAGGCCCAGATGACCACGCTGAGATCGCGGGCTGACCAAAGGGCGAA